CCCCAAAACCCCAAAACCCCAAAACCCCAATCCCCAAAACCCCAAAACCCCAAAACCCCGTGAAGATTTGAGAAGATTGATTTGGTTTAATTTTCATTTAATCAGAATAATTAAAGAGTAGAATGTACTAAGTCATTCACTCTAGACTTTGTTTGATTACACTCTAACTTTGTAAATTCATTTGTTTTATTTGCTAGTTCTCTTTCGTTATCTTCAGTGAATTTTCTTCTCATTCTATTGAAAAATTTCTGAGATTCCTTCAATTTTATTGCAAACTTTTCAATCTGAGGTTTGAGTAACTTAACTGATGATCTTTTCTTTTTCTGAGATCTTTTCAATTTCTTTTCCATTTGCTGAAGCTTATTTAGATTTCATTTTGATCATATTTATAGAAATCCCTGGAGTTTTATTGTACTCTATGTTGAAATTTATTCTTTTAGCATATGCTCTATATTCAAGGTTTATCATTGAATATCTCTGGATATAGCTTTGAAGCTGGTTTGGCTAGACAATGAAATAACTGGATACCTTTGACTCTTTCATTGCATTAGCTTTTTGTTTTAGTTGAAGGTATTTTTCTTGTATTTCATCTATTGATCTCCTTCTCGGAAAATTTCTAGAAATATCAAATTATAGTACCTCTGGTTTTGGCAAGATTCTATGCTTATTGGTTGACTAATGCTCTTTCGCATTCCAGTAGGGCCAGGAGTAAATGCACTTATTGTATTCCTGCTGAATGAATTTTGAGATCTTAGCTTCTTATTTGAGTTAACAATTCTGAAAATTTAACTGAAAGCATACTTTTTAGAAAAATGTGAGAGAAAGTTTTTCTTTCCCATAGTTTTTGCCAACGGTGTTTTGGAGCTTCTAACTTGTTTATTCTCATGAAAAGCTAAATGTTTAACTCAGATAGTTACTAAAGGACGACCTTAAATTCTTCTTTACAACTATCCTATCAATTTTCTCTGCTATATCTTTACTCTCAATAAATCAATGATTATTTTCTCTCAGGTAATTCCTAATACTCGAATGTTTCTTCATCTGATATCCTTTAAACCCCTTATAAGGAGTTCTTTCCGCCTTAAAGAACTTCTCAATCTCACTCCTCAATGGATGTAGCTGCATCTTACTTATACAGCATAACCTACACTAGTTACCGACTACTTACATCTCCCAGCTCCATATCATACAAAGTACCTCTTTCCATTGGCTTATTCATCACGTCAAGTACCTTCAGCAGGCTCTGTTTCTTCTCCAAGCTTGGACTATTCCCTAAAACGTCACCTAAAACCAGTACTTTTTGGGCTAGATTTCTTATGAAGTCTGAGCTTGTTGTGGGCTAGGCTAGATTTTGGGAGTTTTAAGCGCCTAGAAGTGGGAGTGGGGCTTACGGTGAGAGGGATTGGTGGGTGTCTGAGGAGAGTTCAGTGGGGGAAGGGATGGGAGAGGGGGGTGGAAGGAGGGTGGTGAGGTAGGTAGGGTCCATAGTGGGGATTTTTTGGTTTATTTTATAGTGCAGAGGAAAAATGGGGTTTTGGGGTTTTGGGGTTTTGGGG